TCCCAGCACTGGGAGGCAGAGGCAGGTGGATCTCTGTGAGTTCGAGGCCAGCCTGGTTTACAGAGTGAGTTCCAGGGAAGGCGCAATGCTACACAGAAAAACCCTGTCTCGAAAAACAAAAACAAACAAACAAAAAAATTTCCTCTTGAGAGGCCCTGTCTGACTCCCCAAAGAATGCCCTGCCTTGTGCCCAGCATGAGTTTTATATTGTCTTTTTGCCTCGTGTCTGTAGCTCTTAATGAAATTGTCTTGTGAACGTAATTGATTGTTGATTTATCGCCAAACCCTGTGGGCTCTTGAGATAGTTTTGTCTCCGTGATTACTGCATTTGGTCTCATGACAGTGAATGAGTGAGTGAATGGGTGACTGGGGGGCCGGTGTGCCCGGCCTCTCCCCAGCCCCTACCCAGGCCTCTGCCGTGATGTCTCTCTGTCTCCTCCCTTTGCAGTGAGTATGGAGTTCGGTAGGGCTGTGTGGCTCCGCTTTCATCCATCGGCTTATCCCCCGTGCCCCCACCCAAGCTTTGTGGCGCACTTGGGCGGCGTGGCCGTGGGCATCACCCTGGGGGTTGTGGTTCTAAGGAACTATGAGCAGAGACTGCAGGACCAGTCGCTGTGGTGGATCTTTGTGACCATGTACACCATCTTCGTGCTGTTCGCTGTCTTCTGGAACATCTTTGCCTACACTCTACTGGACTTGAAGCTGCCACCGCCCCCCTAAGGGACTGGAGGACCAAGGCGGGGAGGGGAAGAAGCAGAAGCATCCTGAGGAAGCACCTGCATCTGTTTCTCATCGCCAATTCAGCAAGACCAGGGGGAGCAGGAGACTCTGGACCGGGGTATATGTGTTCAGTTTACAAGGATGGGGGAGGGGATGGATGCAGCTGCTGTCATTTTCCGAGGCTGATCTGATGATGCGGGGGTCAGGGGTTGGATCTGGGGAGGGTAGCTGTCCCATGTGCTCCCCTCTTACTGCTGCAGAGTGAGCAAGCAGCCTTCTTCCTGGTCTTCCGCCTGGAGAGACGCTGGCATACAGAGAAGTTCTGAGGGCAGCCACAGCCAGGCAGGCCTTCCCCAGCCCAGAGGTGACTGTAGGCTAGATCATGTTCTCTCTGCAGCTCAAGGTCTGGTGCTCTGGCAGTAGACATGCTGGCTTTGATCTGGGGGAGCCCAGAGCACCCCAGGCTCACATCCTGTCAATGGGTGCAGTAGCATGGCCCCGAGGACTGGGTAGGGCAGGAAGATGCTATATTCTTGCCCTGGGGGATCTGTGAGAGGGCCCCATGCCTGAGGCAAAGAACTTCATCCCACGTTCCCCTTGGGAAAGGCCCGGGACCAATCTTCCCTCTTCCTGCCTGGAGTTGTGAATGCTGGCATCTCATACCATCACTCCTACATCCATGCCCTACCTGGACTTTGGGGTCTTTTCTTTCCTCTCTACTGCCCTGACCCTACTTTGTGCCTCTCTTTTGGGTGTGGAGACAGGGTTTTGGGGTGTGTGTGTGTGTGTGTGTGTGTGTGTGTGTGTGTGTACATGTACGAGTGTGTGTGTACTGTCAGGCAAGTCAGAACCTGCAGAGGGAGGAAGTGGGGACAGTGTACACATGAGGGTGTCTGTAAGGGATTGCTGGAATGATGGATATCCTCAGTGTACTGCAGCGTGCTTGCTCAGTGGCCTTGCTTTTAGCATAACTGACCCCCTCTTTCCCATCTGGCCCTCCCAAACACTTCCTGAGCATCATCGACCAGCAGAAAAATTGTCCGTGCTAGAGGGAAGACCAGAGCCCCACCAGGGCCTTTGGGACTGCCCAGCTGTATTCTGGTTCCCTCTGGGGTAGCCTTCGTGTCTGTTCTGCCTCCTGTAGAAGAGAGTCTTTGGGATGAAAGAAAGCCCAGGACAGTGATGCTATGGCCATCTCTCCAAGGAAGCTGTATGTAGTAAAAGATATTTTGGTGAAAAGCTTTGCCCCAGAGAAGAGCTTGGGTGAGTGTCCAGTGTGAGAGCAGCTGTAGACTGAGATGGTTAGATCTGGAAGGGGGTTGGAAGTGTGGTTGAGAGAATGGCCTTGTGTTGCCCATTCCGGGCAGCCTGAGCTGCAAGAGCAGGAGTTTGGCAAGGCACCCAGTGCCTGTCCCCCTCCAAGACAGTCTACTCAGGCTGGCACTAGCAGATGCTGGGATCCCCTAAGCGGAGGCTGGGAGGCCAATGACCTTTATATTGGCGTTGGGACTCCCAGCCCCTGAGGGTCCAGCATGAGGAACGACGGCCTGGGAAGTGAGGGGCCGAGCACACAGGAGCAAGAGCAGGAGGGTGGGCGCTGCTCCTGGCTCCTGGGTCCCCTCCCATTCCAGCAACAGTTCCCACCTGGTCTCCACTCTCCTGAGTCCCTCACCCCTTCTTCTCCAGTATGGCCAGTCAGGGCTGGGATTCAGGGGGCAGTAGCACTCTTCCTGCTGGTGGCTGTAGGTTGGCCTGGGGAATCCCCAAACAGCAGCTATGTAAGCTCGCTTGCTTTTAAAGGGGAGAGGAGTCGTGGAAACCGGGGAAGGGAGACCAGGCCCTCCAAAAAGAGTGATTTCGCTTTAATGACACCATTCATCACTCGTTTTTTTAATTAGGAAAAGCTCCCTACTGGGGCTCTTTTGACTCTCAATTTCCATGTGAGCCATTCTTGCCTAGAGCATTAGCGGAGGCATGGCTCACCGAACCCAGATCTTCCTCCAGTGTCCAATTCAGTTTGCAGATAATGAGGATTGCCCAGTGCTGGGTGCTTCCCAGGGCTGGCTGCAAAGCGTTGACTCTCCTCTGCCTTAAAAACAGTGCCCGACGGTGAGCTGCCCCTCCAAGGACTAAGTAAGTGAAAAACAGAACACTGGCCGCAATGTTGGTTTCTAAATATTTTTGTATTGTGTACATTCTGTATATTTTTGTTGTAACATATTATTTGAGCACAGATTCCATTAAAGATTTTTTTTTTTTTAAGCTATCGGTTATTCAGGAAGTGACCACAAGGGCTGCCATGGAAGTGTTTTGTCTGGGCCTGGCTCATGGTGGGTGAGTGGAGAAAACTGGTAATGGTGGGTTGATGGGTTTTGGTGCCGGTGATTGGCACTGTCTTCCTTAGTCTTCCCTAAGTGGTTGGTGAAAACTCCCCTGAGTGAGTTGTTCTGCCCATACTACACCCATGAAGGGAGCTTCCCGGACAGTTTTGGAGGTGGATGCCAATAGTTAGGGGACTTAGCTCGAGTGACAAGCTCGGTGCCGGTGTCCCCTCAGGCCTGGCTTCCCTTCCACTCCTCCAGCTCTCATAAGTGCCTCACTCTGCACTGCTCTAGGGATTGACAGTTGGCAAGGGAATGAAGAAAGAGCAAACACATGAACTCCAGGACAGAGAAGCTGAGATCGGATGGTCCCGGATGGAGAAGCCGCAACCTTGCCCCGCAAGCTCGGAGTGCTTACTATATACCATTGAACAGGGAAGCCAGGTTATGGCATCCAGCTGAACAAGGAGGCAGGGGTACCTAATCTCAGATAGGCATGGTCTCAGTAGGGGTGCAGTCTTCAGGCCATAGACATGGGGGGGGAGCAAAAGCTGTGGTGGACATTGTCGGCACACACTGTCTACATTCACACACAGAGCAAACCTTTGCCATCCCTCTGGGCCTCACCCAGAGAAGGCTTTGCCACTCCCTTGGGGCTGACACATTGGGGTCCTTGACATGGCCTTGCCCATGTCAACAACACACATTCACTCAGGACTTCACTCACTACATATATATAATCATGTGTATGATTAATATATGATTGCTATTATTAGAGAAGTCTTTGAAATGCCTTGGAGACCTCTTTCTCTACCCCAGTAAGCCTAGTCTTTAGGTCCTAGGGTCATCAACAACTTAATCTTGAAGAACAGGGCATGGTCAAGTTCATAGCCTGAAGGGGACATGAAAGTAGCATCTATGCTCAGGGCAAAGCCTGGGACTTCGGAAGTTTAACAGCTGAGCTGGCTTTGCGTGGATGAGGCCTGAAAGAGCCAACTGTGTCCGAGTTAACATGTACCAAATGCTTGAAGGTTAAATTGCCCTGTAAAGTGTAGAATGGGGGTCGTTTCCCTTCACATCAATTTCCTGTGTATTACTGAAAAATGTTCCCAAACAATGTGGGAGCCATCCCAAAACTAATTAAGTTTGCCTTTGGCCTCCTCCCATTTCCCCTTTTCTGTTTCTTCCTGTCAGATTCTCATTCATCAAGTAACTTACTAAAATGCTTACCAATGATAATTTAAAAAATGAAAACAGCTGGTTGTGGTGGTGCACACTGGTAGGATTTGCTGAAGGAGGCAGAGGCAGGAGGATCACGAGTTTGAGGCCAGCCTGGGCTACACATAAAAAAATAAAATAAAAAATAAAAACAACGGGCAGTAGTGGCATACGACTTTAATCCCAGCACCCAGGAGGCAGAGACAGGTGGATCTCTGTGAGTTCAGGGCCAGCCTGGTCTACAGAGCGAGATCCAGAACAGCTAGAGCTACACAAAAAAATCTTGAGAAATCCTGTCTAGAAAAAAACAAGGAAGGAAGGGAGGGAGGGAGGGAGGGAGGGAGGGAGGGAGGGACGGAGGAAAGAAAACTAGCCAGGCATACATCTTCAATTCGAGAGACACAGAACAGACCTGAGCCCCAGGGCAGCCAGGGCTGTACAGAGAAACCCTGTCCGGGGGAAGGGACAGTTTACTAAGTCCCTACTTATGCTAACAGTGAGGTAGACCTTTTCATAGCTAATGTTTTGTGTTGGTTTTTTTTTTTTTTTTTCAAGACAGGGTTTCTCTGTGTAGCCCTGGCTGCCCTGGAACTCACTGTAGATCAGTCTGGCCTTGAACCCACAGAGATCCACCTGCCTCCACCTCCTGAGTGCTGAGATTAAAGGAGTGTGCCACAACCATCCCACTTGTTTTGCTTTTGAGACAGGGTCTCACTGTGTAGCCCTGGCTTGCCTGGCTGGTTTTTTTTTTTTTTTTGGTTTTTCGAGACAGGGTTTCTCTGTGTAGCTTTGCGCCTTTCCTGGAACTCACTTGGTAGCCCAGGCTGGCCTCGAACTCACAGAGATCCGCCTGGCTCTGCCTCCCGAGTGCTGGGATTAAAGGCGTGCGCCACCACCGCCCGGCGCCTGGCTGGTTTTAAACACACAGATTCACCTGCTCCTGCCTTCTGAGTGCTTGGATTAAAGGAGTGTGCCACCGCACGTGGCCGTTTTCATAGCTGCTTTATGTGAAATGCTTATAAACAAAACAATCTCGTATTTGTACAACAATGGAAGACTTTTTAGTTACTTGCTGATAGGAAATAGTACAGCTGTAGCCACACTTAGGCCATCTGGTTCCAAAGTTTATATATATATATATATATATATATATATATGTATGTATGTAGTGGTTTGGTGTTTTTGAAACAGGGTTTCTCTGTGAATCCCTGGCTGTTCTGGAACTCACTCTGTAGCCCAGGCTGGCCTTGAATGAACTCTCAGAGATCCACCTGCCTCTGCCTCCTGAGTGCCAGGAGTAAAGGCATGCGCCACCACCGCCTGGCCAAAATTTGTATTCTTGGTCCCTGGATATTTGCATGGGATGTAAAGGGAATTAATCTCATACATATGTTAAGAGGCAGTTTCTGGCTGGCTGTAATGGTTTGTGCAGGTAGATCTCTGTGAGTTCAAGGATTTGAGTTCAATCCCAGGTACCCATGGAAAATCCAGATGTAGTGCACACTTGTCATCCCAGTGCTGAGGAGGCAAATCCCTGGGACTCGCTGGCCTGCCAGCCAAGCCTACTTGACAAGCCATCTCCAAGGTCCTCTGGTCTCCACATACACATGCAAACACACACACACACACACACACACACACACACACACACACACACACACACCTCCCTGTCACCCCCAAGTCCAGCATAGTTCTGTCACTCTTAATGTGTGTGAGAGAGGAAAGGACCTGTGTCCTACAGGTGAAACGGTTTTGTTCTTTTAAGATTTATTTATTTACTATGGATACAGTATAATGTCTGTGTGTATGCCAGCAGGCCAGAAGAGGGCACCAGATCTCATTACAGATGGTTGTGAGTCATCATGTGGTTGCTGGGAATTGAACTCAGGACCTCTGGAAGAGCAGCCAGTGCTCTTAACCTCTGAGCCATCGCTCCAGTCCCAGGTGAAACTGTTTTAGACCACAAATAAAACATGATAAAAATTGTTTACTCCTTCCTTGTGCATTCCAACAGGTGACTAGAATTTTTCCACACATGCCTCAGTGTAGGTCTACGTATATGTGTGTGGGTGTGGTGTGGGTGTATATAAAAGGTATAATTTCCCCATAAACTTACTGGAAATTACTGAAGGTGTGAACTGAACTCAATTGGATAAAAAATATCTGCCTTGATTAGAAGCTGTGCTTTATTATTATAACAAATATAGTTACACTTTTGGTACAAGGCAAGCATATATTTCCTGTGTGTTGCACACAAGCACAAGTTTATTACATGTCTGAACATCACTTTTAAACCTTTAAAATTTAATACACTCACTTATTAAAATTTGAATACAGTACAGGTTTCGGGTCATGAGCTGTTTCTTCTCAGGACCAACAAGATAATCAATTCCATGACATCTTTCTCCTTGTCTTTAATAGCGGTACAGAATTGATCACAGACTTCTTTTTAAACATAAGACTACTATATACATTGCAAAGAAAGTACCTACAAATAAACAGAGTTATACTTTGCCTATATCGACAAGTGATTTAATGCATTTTGCTTTTATTTTTATTATTATTTTGGGTGAAACATTCACTTCTATTTTCATTGTTTTTGATGGAGGTCAGAGGTCAATCCTGGGACATCAATCCTCAGGAGTTATCTACCCTTTTGTTTTCCTGTTTGTTAATTGGTTCATTCTGAGGGATTCATGTGTAGAGATCAGAGCAGTTTGCAGGAGTGGGTTCTCTCCTTCCACCGGTGCATGGATTCTGGAGATAGCTCTCAGGCCATGAGCCTTGGCGGCAAGGGCCTTTATCCACTGAGTTATCCCTCCAGCTCATTTTTTGTTTGTTTTCCAATAAGGTCTCTAAGTGGCCTGAAGCTCACAAGTCAGCTAGGCTGGCCGGCAGGACTGCCCTGCCACATCAGCGCTAGGGTTACAAGCACATGCTACCACACTGGACGTTCTATGGAGGTTCTCAAGATCAAACTCAGGTCCTCATGTTGGCATCGCAAGTTCTTTACGCTGAGACAGTGCCCTGGCCACTACATTTATTTTCTAAAGGCCATTTGCCACAGACTCTTGATTGTGAATTTGAAAATGAAATTTTTGTTTTACAGATTCAAGACGTTGATGTCCTAATGTTGCTCATTACAAAATGATGTCAACATGGCCAAGTGCATTAGGAAGATTCCAGAAAAGTGCTGCAGAGCTGCTGACTATCCTCAGAGGCTATCAAAATGCTACTTCGATTCTTTTCTATACTGCCTATAATTCAAGTTATTAAACTTTAAAGCATATGAAAGCATTTATGAAGATCCTAAATTGTATTTCTCATTAAAGGAAAAGAAAGGGCGTGGTGAGTCATGTTCCTGGACTGACTTAGGGAGAGAAGGCAGAAGGCCACTCTCAGTCACTCTGAAAGTTAGAACTCAGCTCTTGGCAGTTAAGAGTTCCTCAGTTTTACAGGCTTCTGCTCCTCTGAGCATCCTGAAGGCAGTGAGAACACAAGGCTTCTGATTTTCTAAACCAAAGTCATTATCAAATGGATTTATTAAAGAGCTATGCAGAACAACCATGGGTGTGGATGCAGCTGGCATCCATGGGAATTAGAAAGGGCCACCCAAGGGCACTTACAATTGATTCAGGGTAAAACAATCCAAGGCTTGTTACACAGGTCCAAACTAAAATCAATGAGCAATTGTGATAGGAAGAATTTGTTTGCATTTTTAAAATTTTTAAAATATTACTTATTTATTGAGACAGGGTTTCAATATGTAGCCCTGACTGACCTGAAACTTGCTATTAAATCAGGAAATCAGGCTGGCCCTGAACTCACAGAGCTCCGACCTCCTCTGGCTTCCAGGTTACTTTCTTTCATTCTTTTTTTTTTTTTTTTTTTTTTGGTTTTTTGAGACAGGTTTCTCTGTGTAGTTTTGGTGCCTGTCCTGGAACTCACTCTGTGGTCCAGTCTAGCCTCAAACTCACAGAGATCCTCCTAGCTCTGCCTCCCAAGTGCTGGGATTAAAGGCATGCGCCACCACCGCCCAGCCAGTTTATATTCTTATATTTGCTTGTAAAGGATATTTATTGTGTTTACTGTTTTGTTTTGTTTTGTTTTTCCTTAATACTGTTTAAGAACCCCAGCATTTTCATCTTTAAAAAAATAAATAAATAAAAAAGGAAGAAAATACAGGTTCCTGACAAATAACTACCTGTAAAAGATGTGGCCACTTCTGCAATAGCTTTTCATCCGAGAGACTTTCATATTGAAGCTAGTACATCCATTTTTCTTTTATTTTTTTGGTCTTTAGATAATTTTATGTGTGTGTTTTACCTGCATGTAGGTCTGTAAATTACATGTGTGCCTGATGCTACAGAGATCCACCTGCCTCTGCCTCCTGAGTGCTGTGATAAAAGGCATGTGCCATCACCGCCCGGCTCATTTTTAAACTCTTATACACTCATGATTTATTTTCATGTTGGCTTTAAAAAAGTGGTTTCATCATTCATGCCAACGATCAGTCTGTATCAGGCACCCACAGGACAAACAGATCTGTCTTTGACACAGCATGGGAGTGCTAGTAAGACCAATATGATAATGACTGCTATGTAGTCCAAGCTGGACACAAACTCACTTTGTAGCTCAGGCTGGCCTGGAACTTGAAACCTGCTGTGGGATATTCTGTGTATTAAATGTGTTGCTCTGATTGGTTAATAAATAAAACACTGATTGGCCAGTAGCCAGGCAGGAAGTATAGGTGGGACAAGGAGAGAGGAGAATTCTGGGAAGTGGAAGGCTGAGGCAGAGAGACGCTGCCAGCCGCCGTGATGAGAAGCAACATGTTAAGATACCGGTAAGCCATGAGCCACATGGCAACTTATAGATTAATAGAAATGGGTTAATTTAAGATAGAAGAACTAGTTAACAAGAAGCCTGCCACAGCCATACAGTTTGTAAGCAATATAAGTCTCTGTGTGTGTGTGTTTACTTGGTTGGGTCTGAGCGGCTGCAGGACTGGCGGGTGAGAGAGATTTGTCCTGGCCCTAGGCCAGGCAGGACCAGGAAAACTCTAGCTGCAGAAACTTCTTGCCTCAATCTCCTAAGTAGCTGGGATTACAGGCATGTGTCATCACATTTTACTGGGATCATATAGTTCAAAAAATTCTACAGTCTATTGAGAAAGAGGTCCTTTTTTTTTTTTTTTTTTTTGGAAGAGAAAAACCTGCTAAATATTCCAGGAAGGTCCTGAGAAGCCAAAAATCACCTCCAGAGCTTTTTAGGCAGCACATGTTTGAAGCTTAAAATTTATGAGACTAGCAATGTAGCAAAACTCCACAATTGTAATACATACTATCTGCCTAGGACTCTGAAGATAATCTGTGGATTTTTGTGTTTAATTACGTTAAACAAAAAAGTACAAAAGGAAGAAGGAACCCGGGTGTTTCCAGCCATCTTAGGAGCAGCACAACCCTACAAATGATGACAGCTAGTTCCACACACACACGCAGCCTCAGTACGTCATGACCCAAACCTCAGTCCAGGGCTTCTCTCATGAACTCTTCAAGGACCGCCACCACACTTTTGGCTTCGGGCATTTCTTCATGTTCCACTTTAACAATCTTCAAAAGAATATCTCCACTGCCACAGTTCTTAAGGAACATGTAACATTTAAACAAAGCATAATGATTCATCTCTGCCTGTCGGATAAATCTCTTCAAATTGTTTGTGTCTTGGATGGCCTAGGAAAAGATTACCCAGTTAATCTGTTTAGTGAGATAATGACGAGGCTTGAAGAATGCCCCCTTAAGCTGACACTCAGGGTATGTTGACAAGGTTGGCTTTTGTTTTATTTTGTTGTGAGATAGGGTCTCACTGTGTAGCCCCTGGCCTCAAACTCACAGAGGGTTTGCCTGTCTCTGCCTCCCATTGCTGGGATTAAAAGTGTGCAACCACACACCCGGCGAATGTTGGGCTTTTTAAAAACACCCTGTTTTTTTATTCCTATTGCTAGTATGCTTTGCCTTTGGTGTAACAGAATCTCACATTTAAAAAGAATTTTCAAAGTCTCCTACCAAGCCTTGGTGGCACACACCTTTAATGCCAGCACTTGGGAGGCAGAGGCAGGTAGATCTCTGAGTTCAAGGCCAACCTGGTCTATAAATCGAGTTTTAGGATAGCCAAGGCTGTTACACAGAGAAACCCTATCTTGAAATATCAAAAAAAAAATATTTTTAAATTAAAAATCTCCTAAGGTGACAGTACTCACCTACCAGACTTTGAAATCATTTGTGTATTGTAACTGATATGCATCACAAATTATCAGCTTCGTATCCCCTAAATATAAACAAGCAATTCACCACCAAGTATTGCAAATGAAATTGCATGCATGCAATGCTGCTGGACGGCAGGCAGGTGCCTTCTGTGACTCCAGTGCTGTGGGCTCCATTTAAAGAACACTGTGACTGTAAAAGCCAATCACTGATGCTACCACTTGCAGTAATCAGATTCAGAACAGATACACTGTATATGGCTTACCTTTAGTTTAAAGTTCTCCAGGACTTGTCTGAAAAGAAAAGGGTTACCCGCTTCAGCACCATGTAAGAAAGCCTGCATCCAGTCTTCACAGAAACGGTTGCTTCCTAAGCAAAAGTAAATAAACAAAATTAAGTACCACAAAGCACATGTATGTCAGTTTAAAAGATTTTACTTTTATGATTTTCAATTATGAGTGTGTGTGTGTGTGTGTGTGTGTGTGTGTGTGTGTGTGTGTACAGGTGCCCTAGGAGGCCTGAAGTGTTAGATCCCTCAACATGGGTGCTGGGAACTGAACTCTTTTTCTTTCTTTCTTTCTTTCTTTTTTTTTGGGGGGAGGGGGGGCAGGGTGGTTCCAGACAGAGTTTTTCCATGTAGTTTTGGTGCCTGTCCTGGATCTCTGTAGAACAGGCTGGCCTTGAACTCACAGAGATCCGCCTGGCTCAGACTCCTGAGTGCTGGGATTAAAGGCTTGTACCACCATTGCCTGGCTGAACTCTTTCTCTGAAAGAACAGCACATGCTATTAACCACAGAACCATCTATCCAGTCGTAGCACATGAATTTTTCTTTTCTGAGACAGGGTTTCTCTATGTAAGCCTTGACTGTCCTGGAACTCACTCTGTAGAACAAGCTGGCCTTGAACTCATAATGATCTACCTGCCTCTGCCTCCTGAGTGCTGGGATTAAAGGCGTGCGCCACCGCCACCAGCCCCATAAATTTCTTTATAAAAACATTTATAATTAATTATTTAAAACTTCCCTTGCGACTTCAAAAATAAGTTAAGCTTACCACATGGTAAGAAACGCCCAAGCAGTTGAAGCCCCATCATCACCTGTCCCTCTATCCCAGCAGAAAGGACCATCATTCCTGTATATGCTTTAAGCTTTGGCTAGCTACCTTTACCTTATAGATGAATGTTTTGTATATGGTAAGGCTTTGAGTGTTTTTCTTAGTGGCTGTTTCACTAAACAGTATGTTTCAGAGACATTTTAACATGTATTCTAGCTTGATTTTAGCCGCTCGATATTCCATTGTGTGAATTAGCAATTTGTTGATTTTTTTTAATCTTTTCTTTAAAGATTTACTTATTTATTACATATACAGTGTTCTGCCTGCATGTATGCCTGCAAGCCAGAAGAGGGCACCAGATCTCATTACAGATGGTTGTGAGTCATCATGTGGTTGCTGGGAACTGAACCTAGGTCCTCTGGAAGAACTGCCAGTGCTCTTAACTCCTGAGCCATCTCTCCAGTCCAGTTTATTGATTTCTTGTTGTTAAACATTTAAGTTGTTTCCAATTTGTTATATCAAAAAAATGCCTTTAGAAGCAGGATGTGTTGGTACACGCCTTTAATCCCAGCACTCAGGAGACAGAGGCAAGTGGATCTCTGAATTTGAGGCCAGCCTAGTCTACAGAGCAAGTTCCAGGGCTGCTGGGGCTACACAGTAAAACTCTCGGCCAGCCTGGTCTACAAAGTGAGTTCCAGCAAAGTGAGTTCCAGGAAAGGCGCAAAACTACAGAGAAACCCTGTCTTGGGGGGGGGGGACGACGACGACTCTCTCTTGGAAAAAAAACCAACATAAATACATGTTTAAAAATGCCTTTAGGGCTGGGACGGTGGCTCAGTGGATAAAGTACTTTCCATGACAGCATGAGGTCCTGAGATCAGGTCTCCAGCACACACATACAGCCAGATGCAGAAGTGTGAATATGAAATCCCGCTGTTCCTATGTTGAGATGAAAGGCATAGAGAGGAAAATCCCTAGAGCTTTGAGGGCCAGCTAGACTGACATATAGAGCAGCCAATAAAAACTATCTTGTTTGGTGAGGACTGACCCCCAATGTTGTCCTGTGAGTCCCCACATGTGTGCTAGGGTACACATGTACCTGCAATCACTCACACAGACACACACTCAAAAGATTTTCTTGGCCAGGTGTGATGGTGCACGTCTTTAATCCCAGCACTTGGGAGGCAGAGGCAGGTGGATCTCTGAGTTGGGACCAGCCTGGTCTACAAGTGAGTTCCAGGACAACCAGGGCTGTTACATAGAGAAACTCTGTCTTGAAAAACAACAACAACCAAAAAAATCAAAAACCAAAAAACAAAACAAAAAAGATTTTCTTAAGAAAATGCCAAGCTGGGCAGTGGTGGCACATGTCTTTAATCCCAGCATTTGGGAGGTCAGCCTGGTCTACAGAGTGAGTTCCAGGACAGGCTCCAAAGCTACACAGAGAAACTCTGTCTTGAAAAACAAAAAAACAAAAACAAAAACAACAACAACAAAACAACAACAACAAAAAGAAAATGCCAAAAAAAAAATTTTTTTAACTGGGCAATGGTGGCGCATGCCTTTGATCCCAGCACTTGGAAGGCAGAGGCAGACGGATCTCTGTGAGTTCAAGGCCAGCATGGTCTACGAAGTCAGTTTCAGGACAGCCAGGGCTGTTACACAGAGAAACCAAAAAAAGCTGGGCGGTGGTGGCACATGCCTTTAATCTCAGCACTTAGGAGGCAGAGCAAGGCAGATCTCTGAGTTCGAGGCCAGCCTGGTCTACAGAGTGAGCCCCAGGACAGTCAGGGCTACACAATCTGGAAAAACAAAATAACAAAAAAATCCCCCAAAGAGAAAATGCCTGTAAACCAGACATAGTGATTGAGTGTCTATAATCTCAGCACTTGAGAGGTAGAGGTAGAAGGGTTAGAATTTCAGGGCCAGTATATAGTCTACATGAGACCCTTTCTCAAAAACAATCAAACAAACAAAAAAAGCCTTTATATGAAGCACACTTGTAATCCTAGGAGAGCTAGGCAGGGATATTGTCAGCTCAAGGCCAACCTAGACTATACAGTGAGAACCTGTCTTAAAATAAAAAAAATTTTAAATGCCTTTATGAGCATGTTTGTATTTATTCCTGTGTACACACATGTGAGTTTTCTTATGCACAAAGTAGACTACGAGGCATGACTCGAGTCCCGTGTTTCTTGAATCAAGGTTTCAGCAAGCTTAGTTCAGCATGAGAAGGACATGTCTGTGTCACGTGTTTTCAGTGCAGGGGTCCCACCAACACTGCCTCTGTTTCCGACTCACCTGCATTGTGGAACTGAGGCTGGGGGCCACTACAGTCGATGATCACAGACTTATGCTGCTCCTCTGTCATGGCCATGCACAAAGACGTCATGGTGCCTTCGTGAATCAGTCCCTGGAGACTGGCCACACTCAGAAACCTGTCACACATACCAGTCCTCTTCCACCAACAGCATTGCAGAACGGGAGAAAACAAACGCATTCTATCCTAGGGGTGGGAGCTTCAAACGGGGCTGTTGGGCTCGCCGGGGAAGAGCTTTCTTTACCTGTTAATGTCTGTCTTTGTTTTTTCATCGGATTCTTTAAGCTCAACAGGAGTATAGCTTAGAGCCTATGAGAGAGGGGGAGAGGGCACCAGTTTGATACATGCCTCCTCTGTTCCTCACTGACCCACCACTCCCCTCCCAATGCATGGTCCACCGTGTGATCACACATGGTTACTAATGAACACGGCCCATCACACCTTTTGCTCAGTGGCTGCCTGCAACATTTGAAGGCCAACTTGATTTTCCCATTGCTGCAGATTAAACCAGGACCTCCTACACCCTACACAAGCTAAAGCCCTGCTCGGTGATGCCTTGTTTATTT